AAGCCCAGTCTCCAGCCCAGGGGTCCCTCCTCCGGCTTTCCCCACTGTGCCATCTCGTTTTTTTCTACTTTGAAGCTACCATGTACAGCAGTTTCTCACTGGTGAACCCCCAAGTAATGACCGAATTAAAGAGTGCATTCTGCAAGGTTTGGTTTTCATCTCTCAGGCTCACTAAAGCACAGCACCAAAGCAGAAGGGCAGGACGGGGACATGCAGGGCCACAGAGCAGTCAGCACCCGCTTCCCTCTCTGAACTCTGCTCCCAGCTTGGACTCTCCCCTGCCACTCTCTAGCTTTCCAGCCTGTTGTAAGGGGGATTTCTTCAGAAAGAAAGTCTTAAAGGAGATTCTTCCATTGGAGACAGAGAATGGCATACACAGAGATCCCCTTCCAGCTTACCCATCAAGGAGCCATCTCCTCAGCTGAGGCAGATGTCACCAAACCAAAATTCAAAGAGAAAGAGTTTCCAAATGTATGCACTATACCAGTCAAATCCAGGGGTTGCCCACACACGCTGTAAGAGAAAGGCTCAATTCGGTCAACTCAATGAAACCATTCATCAAGACACTTGCTTTGGCCTCTTGTTATACATTTAAGACCAAATTAGTTAGGCTTTGTCATAAATTTAAGACCAACTTAGCGGTGGCTAAACTCAAATGCAAAGGTATGAATGTGAAGAAAACTCATTCATTAGAGGTAGTTATTTCCAATATACACACACATTCACACAAAGTCATCGGTTGATGAAGACAAGCTAGTCATCAAGATGACTGAATGAGGCAAAGGATGGCCCCAGGACACACTGGGATTCAGACCCTGAAGTATAAATAACCAATACTCCCTCCCAATAGTTCTCATCCCCAGATCACCAGGCACGAGGCAGGTGTTCAACCCCACTTAATGAGTGAGGAACTTGAGGCATGAAGAGGGGACTTGGAAATAGGGAAATAACTAGCTCTCTCAGCCCTCCCCCCAAATCCTTTGAACAACTCCACATTAGCAGTCAGGTCACCCAGACAAACCCACAGGTAAAACACAACCCACAGTAAATTTCATCTTAGAAGTCGAGGCAATGCTAGTACTTGTGCTCCCCTAGCACGCTGATTCACCTCCATCCAGGGATCTCAGAGACAAAACTTGTCTACTGTTGTATCCATAGCTTCTAGCACAGTGCCCGGCACACAGCAGGTGCTCAGTAACTGACAAACACATTAGTTTACTGCCACAGGTTTATCTCATCTACCTGGTTTACAGGCAATAAAAAGTCAATGCTTGAGAACCATGGGGAACACCTGACTGTGGGGCAGCAGAGCTCAGCTCTGGGTCCTTTAAGGCAAGATGACAAGGCAACAAGCACTTCTAATCAGGGATCTTGTCCTTTGCCTTCTGTGTCCATTCTACCACCTCAGTCCTCAATAAAAGTGGTGAATTGGTTGATTGTATAGCCGTGATCTGAGTTGCTATCTTGTTGACTTTCCCTGTGGGATACAGGAGGGTGACCAAGATTAAGAACAGGAGTGTCATGATCGATGTTCAAAATAATTCAACCCGACAGCATCGTCTTCCCAAGTGAACAAACTCCATCCACCAATCTTCAGCCTCGCCAGGCTGCTCCTCCATAAACGTCTGCCATCCCTCTGCCCCCTTGATAGAGCTCCTCTTTCCCTTTTTAGACCCAAATTTGAGGCTCAGGACTTTCTGAATATTCCTTGGGATTCCCCAACAACCTAATGTGAGCTTCCGGCCTTTTCCCTTTCAACCCCTGCATAAAGCATTACTGTATTGGAAGCAAAAAGTTAGGTTTGAATTTTTTTTTTCTTTCTCCTAAAGGAAAAAATTGGTTTACACCCACTGGGTTCCACAGGTGGAGGAGGGAGGGGAGGGACATGAGACCTGAGTTCCAGTCTTGACTCTGCATCTAAAATCTTGTATCAGTGGATATGAAGTGCTAGATCTGTATAAGACAGGACAGCTCCCCGACCTCAAGGAACTCATCTTCTATAGAAAAGTCCTGGTGGCCCTGAGAGTGAGGGTGAGCTGGGGGACCACCAGGTCAGAGGGAGGACCAGGCTGGTGGGGCGTTCCAATCAATCCCCAAAGTACAGGGAAACATGATACCATGTGCACACAATGAGACGAGATCACATCTTAGAATCATAATTTCTTTTTTTTAAGTATATTTTTATTGATTTCAGAGAGGAAGGGAGAGGGAGATAGAGATAGAAACATCAATGATGAGAATCATTGATCGGCTGCCTCCTGCACACCCCCTACTGGGGATCGAGCCCACAACCTGAGCATGTGCCCTTGACTGGAATCAAACCCGGGACCCTACAGTCCGCAGCTCTATTCTACAGCTCTATCCACTGAGCCAACCCAGCTAGGGCAGAATCATAATTTCTTAATCTGCAGATATAGGAGTCAGACCACTCAAGGGCTGCACATTGGTTTTGTTTGGACCATTGTTATTTGGCCAGTTGTCCCCAGGCCCAGCCACTTTAAACTGCTTGATCAGCACTTTGTTACCTGCCTGCCCTCTGTGGGCATTTGAGTTTGTGACTCCCCTGACATGACAATCTCCTCCAGCTTTGAACCGCAGTAAGAAGTAACTGATAGAGGGACTTTCAACCAGGCCAGGAAGGATACCCTAGGACAAAAAGGCTTCTGTGATTCCTCCAATCCCAGCTGGAAGGGGCAAGCCACAGAGCCAGGCTGGACCTCTCGGCTGGCTTCTTTGCCTTACCAGTCCCACTCCGGGAGTGGGAGGAGAGCCCCTCCCTGTCCATCCCTTCTCCTGTCCCACCCTCCCTATCAGCACAGCTGTGGGGAAGGGGTCAGTCTACAAGCCCAGCTCTCAGTCCCACCTGAGTCATCAGGCTTTCCTCAGCCAGTCCTCCCCTAAGCCCTGGGTCACCATCTGGCACCAAGCCCTTGCTGCCTTGCACAGCCTTTGCATTTTTCTGTTCATGTTCTCCTCACTTCTCCCCCCACCCCCTCCCCAATTAACCATGTCCATAGTGATGGTAATGATGGCTGTTTGCTGCTCTGGAGGAGGAACTAACTCCCTGGAAAGGGCCTGACTCCCTGGAAAGAGAACAGAGATGGGCCCAGAAGAAAGAAATTGCAAGGAACTAAACTCCCTGGAAAGGGGCCTGACTCCCTGGAAAGAGAACCCACATGGGACAAACAGGGGCAGCCCTCCTTCCCTGAGTGATCTCCCCAAAAGGGTCTTCTCTGCCCGTTCTGCCCCTATGTGGCAGAGTGGCAAGCCGCCTTCTCTCTCTTTGA